TGAATTCTAGGAAAGTCAGCATCCAAACTCTCCAATGTTCACACCGTTGCAGCAAATACCTCAGTCCCCTGCATAAACTGTTCAAATGGGCTCTGAAGAAACTCACCCCACTTCATCTGTACGTGAAAAAAATTCCAGCCACTAGTGCTGAAGAAACTGCTGCTGCTGAACATCTGAAGACGCAGACTGCCAGGAACCAGAAATTCCTCAGCCTGAAGAACCTGTGATTGAGATTCTTGAGGTCGTGATGCAACTCACCGACACTCATCTACCCAAGCCAAAGGATCCATTCTCCAGGAAGCAAAAATTTCAAGGTTGATGATTTCTTCGGCGAGCACGTATTCTTCGCATACTACAACCCTTATGACTCTGCTCGCATTAGGAAGAGGCATTTTTGGACAGCCAGCCAAGCCAATTTCTAATACTCAATGCTGTTCAACAAGAACAAAATCTTCTACCATGAGCACATTCCTCACGTGGATATGGAATCTCTGTCGTGCTTCATGCCAGTCCTCAGTGTTCTTCACGACGCTGGACTATTAAACTTTTGTTCTGACATCTGCGATTGGAATGAAGAACTAATTCTTCAATTTTATGCGACGCTGCACATCATAGGAGATTCTGAAGATGTGAATTCATGGGTGCTGGACTGGATGTCTGAGAACACTCACTACATAGCACCAGCTACTGAATTGCTTCGTGCCTTACCACTCAGTCCTCCCCTTGAAGAAACTCGTTGCATTTACAGTGAACCTGAGCTTACAAATCACTACATGCAAGCTCTGATGAAACCTTTGAAGCCAGGTCAGGCCCCATGAACCAAATTCCTCGTGAAGGAATTACTTTATGTGCCCAGAACTGTCTATCGCATTCTAACGAGGACAATGAGTCCCATCAAAGGCCATGACTCATCTGATGAGGAAATTGTTGACATCATGAAGAATCTGGTATTCAATATCATTCATGGCATTCCTGTCAATTATCACGATTTCTTCATGAGGACTTTGGCAAATGTTGCACTTTCTCCTTTTGAGCTGAAGCCTTATGCACCTTGGATTATGAGATTCCTCAGGACAAGGTCTTCACTCAACTACAAAGCTGATTTTCAGAATCACCTCAGCTACTTGCCCCCGATTTAAGTCCTCAAGCAGACCTATTCGTCAGTTGATGAAAAGGGCAAGGCACCAGCTGTTATAGATGAAGGCATTCGTCCATTGAATGGACAGTTTCGTAAAGTTGCATCTTATTCCACCAATGATGACTCTGCCACACATGACTCTGCCAATGCACCCAAGTCTACTCCTCAAGCCACTGCTCCTCATGTGATGACTGATCGTGAGCTTCTGCTTAGTCTTCACCAGAAGGTGGATCGAAATCATAAATGGGTTAAGCGTTAGTTTGGTTCATTTCTTCACAACATGACTGCTACGCACATGCAGTGAAGAAAAACCATTACTACCTCCATGAAATTTTTGGTCGCACCTGGGCCATTCTGGCACATCTGTATGGTGAAGAAGATCTCAAGAAAATGAGTCTCAAGGAAGATTTTGACTGGTCTGCACCTCCACCGAAGAAATTCAAGAAGGTCAAGGTTCCTTCCTTGGTGGGCAGCTCATATTCTTCATCGTGCGACACCGATGAGAATGAGGACTTGGACGACACTACGGCAGGCCCTTCCACGACAAACGACCACAACAACGTTGGCGCTCCTTCATCAACTTGATATTCTTTAGGGGCGTTAGTCCTCATATTCGATCCTTTTGGTCATTTGATGACAAAGGGGGAGAATTTTGAGTTAGTCTTCAAGCGGGTCTTTCTACATGGGCGTTTTTTTTGTTAAGTTATAACTCTCGTTCTTCTGAGACTTTACTGGATCGAGTTGTAAACTTAAACCCGATGGTGCTCTGATACTTTTGATATGTTTTTCTGCATGCTTTTTCCTCATATATGCTAATGCACGCATGCTGAATTAAATCAGTCACCATATTTCATCATGCATTTCAAATTCTTCATTGTGATATGTCAAATGCGTGTATGAATTACAAGATATAGGGGGAGATCTCCATGATCTACTCTTCAAGTGTGCAATGCTTCAAAAGCAAATACCTCACCATGCACATATTCAGGGGGAGTTCTTCTATATCTTGCAATCAAATTCCTCAATATCAGCATTTACACTTCATATGTTTATCCCCGTTGAAAACTTAACCTATATTGTCATCAATCACCAAAAAGGGGGAGATTGTAAGTGCATCTAGTGCCCCTTAGTGATTTGGTGTATTGAAGACTTGTAGGTTAAGGGACTAATGCGTTTGTGAGTGTACACAGGCCTATAAATCTATGAGGAGTTTGATATTTACAGAGAAAGTCGACCCCTAAAAATGAAGTTCTTCGACTGAAGACTTTGGATTTCTGAAGACTTTCTGAAGACTTTGAAAGTGAAGAAATTGGTGTGACCTTGAAGACTTGGTATTCATTCGATGAACATGAAGCGTGAAGACTTTTGTTTTCGTAGTTTCATTTTCTCTTTCTTGAGTCATAGGAAACACCGTACTGTTAAAGGGGGTCGAGGAAATACTAAGGAAAAATTTCCATGTGATGCTCAACTCAAAATCCTACACCTACCAATCCCTTTGAGTGAAGCCATTGGAAATCTCATACAGTCCAGTCATATTCTTTAGTGACAGAGACGAAGTTCTTCTGGTCTCTGAGGAATTTGTTCTGACTGAGGAGTTAGGAATTCGCCAGTGCGGATTACCTACACAGTGAGGAACATGATAGCCCTGAGGATTTTGCTACTCAAAATTCCGACCGTTGTTGTGCTATGAGCCAGCTGTCTCAAAATATCTATCCACCTAACGGTCATATCATTGAAGGGCATTTATGTCTTATCATGTCGGGCTGCTCCCTAGGCTATAAATAGCCGCCCCCTACAACCACTAGCTGGTTGGCTGCTTCGAGAGAAATTGACACTTGTCATTTGAGAGCAACCCATCCTCCGAGGACTTTGAGCGAAAATCATCAAGTGAGGAAAACCCAAACCCGAACACCTACAAACCCCAAGTGATTGAGCATTACTGAAGAGATTGATCCTGCGTGGATCCGACGCTTGTTACCTTTGAAAACTGTGCTTCTTCCAGATGGTTAGGCGTCATGGTCTAGAGCATCCAAGAGGAATTGTGGATCGCCGAGTGACCAAGTTTGTGAAGGTTCGGAAGTCACCTGAAGACTTACCACGAGTGATTGGGCGAGGTCTGTGTGACCTTAGCTCAAGGGGAATACGGTGAGGACTGAGTGTCCTGAGCTGCGTGTCCGGGACTGTGTGTCCTCAGATTTAAATACCTAGCCGCCCTAACCAGACGTACAACTAAGACAGCAGTTGGAATTGGTCTACCAAATCATTGTCTTCACCAAGATTACTGGTTCTATTTTCTCAACTCTTTCATTTCCTCATAACTGTCTTGTGTACTCGTTCATATCTGTGCTTGAAGACTTTGACTGAAGATTTTCTCAATTTTCTCAGTTCAATTTCTTCAGTCTGTTTGTCGTCATCATGTGTTATCCTGTGTTTACGCTTCATGTACTCTGTGTCTGTCTTTATTTCATCATGATGACTATGCTTGTGTTTTGTTATGTTTACTTTTGAGTACTTATTTCGCTGCTAGCAGTTCTTCGCTAAGGAATTTCCTCACCAGCAAATTCCTCAGTGAAAAATTCATAAAAATCGCCTATTCACCCCCTTTAGTCGATATAACGCACTTTCAAGAACCCTAGATGGTTGAGGTCACCTCGGAGCCACATTCCATTATGGTGAAGCTCCGTGGTGTTGTTGGGAGTCTCCAATCAAGTTGTGGAGATTGCCCCAACCTTGTTTGTAAAGGTTAAGTCGCCGCCTTCAAGGGCACCACTAGTGCAATCACAGCATCTCGCATTATGTGAGGGCGTGAGGAGAATACGGTGGCCCCAGTGGGTTCTTGAGGAGCATTGTGCCTCCACACCGCTCCAACGGAGACGTACTTCCTCTCAAAGGAAAGAAATTTCGGTAACACATTCTCATCTCCATCGGTTCCATTTGTGGTTATCTCTCTCCTTTATTTTGTGCAAACTATTGTTGTGTTGTATCATTTGCTTGCACTTGTTGTTGTTGTTAGCATCATATAGGTTGTTCACCTAGTTGCACATCTAGACAACCTATTTATTGCTAAACTTAATTTACGAAGAAAAGCTAAAATTGTTAGTTGCCTATTCACCCTTCCCTAATCAATCATATCGATCCTTTCATAAATGCCTAAAAAAGAGGCGTGTCATGCTTTTAAGACGCCTAACTGTATGATGTGATAGTAAAACATATGCCGCGTCTTAGTATGTAGTGCGTTAGGCCGGCGCCACATTGACGGCGTGACCAACGACGGTCAAAGGCGCCTTGGCGGACGGCACGGGACGTGTAAGTTGGTGCCTAACGGCCCGGCGCGAATGGGTCAGACGACGAAATAAGTTTTTGAGGGGTCAGTGGGCGAAATAAGTACGTCCAGTGATCATTTAGTAAAAATAATACTCCCTCTGTTCACTTTTATAAGACCTTGAAGACATTTCAGACAATGTGCAAAACAGCCTATTTTGAGCTGTCTGAAAGAACTTACAAAAGTGAACGGAGGGTGTACCATACCACCCGTGCCGTCCGTGCATTCTAGATTTGTAATGGGCGATAGGATAGAGAGATCCAAACCTGAAAACAAATCATGATTAGTCAGAGACGCGTTGAGAGTGAGGGGCCACGTGCACCGCAGTTCGTTTACCATTAAAAGCAGAATCTTGGCATGGCAGCCCGGGTTCAAATGTAGTTGTAAAAAGGTCCTCCTTCTGGGAGACCCACCCACTGATGTTATGTAGCAGCAGTGCTTTCACTGGAGCAAGCATCCAGACTCACTCCAGAGACAGAGACAGAGAGGGAGAGGCTGTGGCTGACTGGGTGTGGCTGGAGAGGAGAGGAGAGGAGAGACATGAGCGGCGGAGCGGCAGCGGGGGCGGCGGCGGCGGTGAGCAGGTTCATCAAGTGCGTGGCCGTGGGCGACGGCGCCGTGGGCAAGACCTGCATGCTCATCTGCTACACCTGCAACAAGTTCCCCACCGTTGAGTACCACCCCTCTCCCTCTCCCTCTCCCTTCTTGGCCTGGCTAGCTTGATCTGGTTTCATTCTGACGAAATGGCTGCTCCTGTTGATGCGGGGGTGGATGCAGGACTACATCCCCACCGTGTTCGACAACTTCAGCGCCAATGTCTCCGTGGACGGCAGCATCGTCAACCTCGGCCTCTGGGACACCGCAGGTCGGGCTCCCGTCCGGCTCCCTCTCTTTTTCCTCCACTCCCCGTACCCGATGCGGAGTGTTTTCCTTCCCGTAATGCCATGTAATGGTGGTCCGTCCTGGGTTGCAGGTCAGGAGGATTACAGCAGGCTGAGGCCTCTGAGCTACAGGGGAGCCGATGTCTTCATCCTCTCCTTCTCCCTCACCAGCAGAGCAAGCTATGAGAATGTGCACAAGAAGGTACACTCACTCACATTGTGTTGCTCTTCTGAACAGGCGCATTGAGATTACTAACGGCCTGCCTTCAATTTGTTCTGCGCAGTGGATGCCGGAGCTTCGCCGGTACGCCCCCGGCATTCCTGTACTACTTGTTGGAACCAAGTTGGGTATGCTCTTGAGCTTCTTCTACAGATTTTTAGTTGGATGCCATTCAAATCCACACATTTTGGTGTGCTATCCAGTAATGCATGTATGTCTTTGGCCGCTCTTGAGCCATCGATTTCCCATATAAATGTGCAGATCTCCGAGAAGATAGAGCTTATCTTGCTGATCATGCAGCTGATTCCATAATAACAACTGAGCAGGTTTGTGCCTTTTACACTCGGATGACAGCAACCAGCTTGGCATTTTGAAATGATACTACCAAATTAACTTTCCACATGTTTTAGGGTGAGGAGCTTCGGAGACAAATAGGTGCGGTGGCATACATAGAATGCAGCTCCAAGACACAAAGGGTATGGCTTCTGCTGCATCCAAACAATAAAAGGCCCTGGGATTTCAAAGAGTTCTAGTACATATGTCTAAAAACATTCTCTCTCTTTTTCCCTTGATAATTGTTGACAGAACATTAAGGCTGTTTTCGACACCGCAATCAAGGCAGTCCTTCAACCTCAAAGGCACAAGGAGGTAGCCAGAAAGGAAATTCGGACTCGCTCTAGTCGGTCAGTAAGGTAGGGTTCAAGTTTATGCTATTTTCTCAAACCAATCACCGGTCGTTTTGAACAAATTTCTCGACATCTTGATTTCCGTTCACGTCCCCGCTTCATTTTGTAGGCGGTACTTCTGCGGGAGTGTTTGCTTAGCATAGTCGAGAACAACATTGTGGCGTCTTTCCTCGACATGATGCTCAGATGGCGCGCGGTTGTTCTCGAAATGGGACAGACAGTGATGGTAGAAGCATCTCATTGCTAGCAGCTAGACGGAACTCCTAGTTCTCTCGTGCACTGTGGTGTGGACTGTGGAGCACCCTGAATCCTTGATGATGTAAGATAGGCATCAAGTTTTGCCTCTGTAATAAGGCATGCTCTTGTGGATGAACAAATTTGAAATATCCCACTCCTTGGGCAGGCTTGAAAATCTCAGGGTAATATGCACAAACAAGATAATCTCGTTTGCTAACAAGGTTTCTGCCTATTTTCCCAGCAAAAAAAAAAGGTTTCTGCCTACTTTACCATTTTGTTTAACAAATTAAAAAAGGCACTTCCGTGGCTATTTTTTCAACAGCCAAAAACAAGTCCAGCACAACGTAGTTTTTCTAGTAAAAACTCAACCTAAATAAAGAGAAAAACACAACTGGAACAATAGTGGGAACAACCTCCTGACGCCTAGAGTAACTATTCAACAAAACGAACGGAAATCATATCCGGTCGAATCATCGTCCTTCTCGGCATGATATCCAAATCACTGGTATGCCTGCTTTAACAGAGTTAAATTTCACTCAAAAATATCTAATGAAATTATATTCAACAGAATCATCAGTATAACATGCCACCAGCAGGACAAGCAACAAGACAATTGTGTGATTAATGAGTCACACAGTATAATCTTCTTAAATATTGGACTGAACCATCCTTCATGACTTAAGAGTAAAACTACGGCGGCAGTAGTTTACAACATCTTACAGCTATAACCATTCAGCAAACATTACCACTGACAAACCATCCTTTAGAAGTAAGCGACTGCAATTCGATAGTTTACAACATCTGGCAGCTAAAAGTAATCTGCCGATATTACCACCACTAACCATCCTTTGCACCAGTCACAACAGTTGTAAACAAAAATAATGTTAATCACACAATAGGCAAGCCCTAAAATCAAAAGCTTACACACTTTCTCTGACAACTAGATATGAGGATAGTTCATCTGCTTTCTCACGACCTCAGGAGGTATAATCTCTTCTTGGCCTATTACATTACATACATAAGCTGGAGGCTGCAATTTGAGAGCCCATGGTAACTGTAATCTTTCCATCCAGAAAAGGGAGCACACATATCTTACTAAGGAGCCTGCATGCAACATCAATGACTAAAGTAAGTGACTGTCCATTTCCACCACGGTGATCTTTTTACAAGGAAATAATGAGCTTACCTTACAAACAATAGAGCGTTTGACACCATAAAGATGAAATGTATTATTCTAAATGTTTTGGAAATGTATGCACATCGCCGTCTGCTTCAAATGTCCGCCCTCATATACTCATTGTCATCACTAATTGTAGTAAAATCACATGGATTTCTGTTGGTCACACAGATATCCTGTCTTACCAATCTATCCAAGGGATTGGGATTGGGATTGGCCATTCTCCCTTGATCTCTGGTCCAAGACTGAGCAGTATCATTCCTCACTGAAGAAAATCCTGGACTGGAACTAACAGAACTCAACCGCCGCGCATTCCATGCTGCTGAATACAGCCCTGAGTTCAATGCCTCAACATTCCCCCTTCTGTTTATATCACTCGATGTTATCCCTTTGGACACCCCTATTTTGTAACCTGACTGTGTCCCACAGCTCTCTGACCAGTCTGCAATTTCCTTCTGCAGCAAGGAACTGAACACACCAACTCTAGGAAGTGGACGTAACGGTCTGTGCAAATTTGGCTGGAGCGGATGACGTGATAAATCCTCTAGCGTCAATGGAATCCTTCCATTTAGGTTACTTCCGTAGGATGTGCTAGCTGATCCCATGCCATTTAGGTTACTTCCATACTGCGTGCTAGCTGATCCCATGCCATTTAGGTTACTTCCATACGGTGTGCTAGCTGATCCAATGTACTGATTGTGTGCTCCACACAATGAGCTAGTTAATCCTATGTAATGATTGTGTGCTTCGCACAATGTGCTAGCTGATCCTATGTACTGATTGTGTGCTCCATACGGTGTGCTGGCTGATCCGATGGACTGATCCTGTGCATAGTGTGAATTCCGAAGTTGAAATTCCATCTGGTTCCTGCTAGACCCTTCATAGTTGAAACTGGCTAACATTGGTGACTCGGTCAATCTCAGGGGCTGAGTAGCAGGCATGGTTTCTCTTGGATAAAAACCTGAATGTCCAACATTTCTTCCATCACACAGATTACCAGCTTCCATGGTTGACACTGAACTTGGAAAACTTCTTGCCTGGACTGAGTTAACTGCTCTATTTGTATAGTGGTCAAGTGTCGAAATTACTGGCTGGCGAGTGGGATAATAACGATTAGCTCCCGCCACATCAGTATAAGTTAAATCAACCGTGTCAATGCTAGGTCTGAACTGAGCACAACCTGTTGTGGTTGATAAATCCCTTGGAAGTGCCTTGAAAGGTTCCCACATCGACTTCTTTGCTCCCATATGGCTCCAGCGCTCAGGTGTTGCTTCAGCAAGAGGCTGGTCCTTGTCTGGTGATAATAGTGGTGAGGTTGCAGCAATAGTGACTAATTCTCCCATGCCCGAATGTGCCTGTGGTTCCTGGGTAGACATTACATGACCAGGAGTCTGTAATTTGAGAGCATGCATATGGGTAGCCTGTGTGGTGGCTGCTACACAATTCTGCAATGCATTCTGGTAACTATCTGGTTCCAAAGGCCGCTTCTGTTGTGAAGTGGTGTCAATCACACTTGACACATAATTTGGACCATCCTCGGCAGCTATTATAGTACAATCTTCATCTTCCATTATCTTGGATTGAGTATGACTAATATCAGCAGAATCGGTCTCAGCTATCAGTGGTCTCTTACCCTGACATCTCGCAAGCAGTTCAACAATATCCATTGGAATGTCATCTGTCATGGCATTTTTTTCGTGCATCACTTCTTGCTTTTTTTTATTTCTCTTCTTAGGTAGTTTCTGCTCAAAGACAGTCACGTTCCGGATAACATGCTTACCTGGAGAAACCTGAGGAAACAAATGAGGCAAAACAGTTATTCTCTTAAAATATTTAGCAGAGAAACACTAAATTTTTCATTGTGTTAACACTAATATTGCACCACAGAAAGTAAAATAATTAATACAGGATGTGAATTGAAGATGAGCAAATTTCATATTGACCATAAGATCATCAAGCACAATGAAGGAGGGGGTGTGGTATGCAATGCATATAGCCTATCATAGTAATTTAAATAGAACAAAATGCCACATGATTCGCAACAAATGGGAACAGGGCAAAGCCGACCACCCATAAGGAACATGGCTTGATTCTTACCTTCTTCAGGCGCCGCTGCACAGACTTTCTGGGTACCATTTGGCATTGATCATCTGTCCTGAGCACAGCCGTCTCTTTAGTGTTGACATCATCATGTTGCGCGTTGACAGTTGAAGGAATTTTCCTCTTACACAAACTCATCTTTTTTACCTTTGACAAGGACCTCTGCCTACAATTATCGGATTCAGTTTCACACATGCCATTTGTGTTCTGCGCATCTCTCTCCAGATTATCGTTCTGAATATTTTCATCACCTTCCCTAGTGCTGGCAGTAGGTGGTATTTTTCTCTTCCTCAACTCCTGAGCTGAGGATATAAAATCATCTTGAACATCTTTCAAAGCAACTTTATCAACAGTATTATATTTTGAATTAGCAGCAGAAGAATCATTATCCTTGTATTCCGCGTCCTTTTTCTCGGTTCTTAATTTCTTCGGAATTCTTTTCATCCAATCCATAAGCGAAGACCCCTCATCATCAACAGCATCAACTCCTTTGTATTTTGCCTTCTTCTTAGCAGTTTTTGACGATATTTCTCTCAACATCTGTCGGCTAACAGGAACAACACCATCATGCTGGATACTGGCAGTTAGAGGCATTTTCCTCTTACTCAAACTAATGGTTTTTACATTTGATAAGAACCTCTCTGTGGAGTTCTCAGCTTCCATTCGCCTCATGTCATCTGTGCTCTGTGTATTTCTCTCCAGATTATCATTCTGGATATTTTCATCACCTTGCTGCATACTGGTAGTAGGTAGGGTATTTTTCTTGCTCAATTTCCAACCTGAGGATGGAAAATCTTGAGTATCCTTAGAGGCAAATACATCTGCAGTAGATTTTGAAGCAGAAGAATCACAATCCTTGTGTTCTGAATCTTTCTTCTCAGTTCTTAATCTCTTCGGTATTCTCTTCATCCAGTTCATAAGTGAAGATTCATCATCTTCAACATCAACTCCTTTGTCTTTTGACACGTTCTTCGTAGTTTTTGACAAGATGTCTCCCACTGCCTGGTGGTCAACAGAAGGAACATCATCCGTACTTCTATCATCCTCGCAGAGATCAGCAACCTTTTCGCCATTAACTTCAATATCACTTCTGGAACCCCCGACCAGATCAGTATTGATGATTTCTGATAGCAGCCGAAGCTTTATTTGCTTTCTCCGACCGACTTTTACATCTGAACTGCCAACCTGCGCAGTACGTTTCCCTTTCTTCTTCTTATATGTAGATCCAATACTTCTTTTTGGAGCTGCTTCTTCACATGGACCACTGTTACCGACCTGATCACCTTTCTGCCCAGATATTGGTTTAGCAACTTTGGGAATAGTGTGGTCAACACTCAGTACCTCCTTGTTTTTCCCATTTTCTTCTGAATCAAGCTTCATACTTGCTTCACTAAGTTTTGAACTGGATGGGATTGCAATGGCATTTCCTTCTCTGCTTACTCTAATCTGGGAATCTTCAGGTAAAGCCATGATATCCACAGAAGCATTATCTGAGATATTTGCGGTTGTAACTTGATTAGTTGACGGCCCCTGTAAATCTGAGGAGATAACAGCTATGTTAGTTACACTCATACCAGAAAATGCTAGTTAGGAATTTAGCAAACCCTACCATACCTTTCATGGGTGGAT